TGCAATCAGACTCGTCTTATTCACACTTTTCATGTATGTAAACAGCAGCACAGCACACTGGCGACATGCGCCCACTCAGAACTCAGAGATATGGCTTCCAGGTACGAGTTCACTTTCAACTGGCTATGGCRGCTTAGCGCCCAAACAACTCACTGTTCACACACTGGATCACCCTGGATATCCCACACACGTCACTCTAAACACTCACGCATGCACACACACTCTTCCCACTAACTACAGCTATGGCAGCTATGGMTGCCTCTAACCGATCGCTAYGCTAACTCCTCCTCTCTCKCCCACTGSGTCCTCCGGGMTCACTGCAGACCTCCTYGCAYAAGTCGCTGTGGCAGCGCTTCCSCATGGCTCACGCAGGAATGAATGAATGGCTGGGCGCYGCCTCTTGATTTATACTTCTGCAGGTCGTTGGTCTGGCCCATTTCCTTGCCCCAAGTGCACACAGTACCGTGCGGTACTTGCTTGACTGACYGGGGACYGGGACTGTTGACTCAGCAGGGTAGACTTCCCCCACTTGCCCACTTGCCTCACCACTTGACCACTTGCCTCTGCTTAAACGTGGGCAACTCACGAAAGGCCACTACAGGGACCTTCCGGAAGGCCGTAGACTTGGCCTTTCGTGACTGTAGCAGCTACGACTCGTGACCCTTCTGGACTGTAGCAGCTACAACCTTGACCTTTCGAGAAGACTACAGCTACGGTGTCTAGACTTGACTAAGACTCCTATCCGACAGATCTACAGATCGAACCCATGCTACCTATGGACCCTACGACAACCTATCAGCTATTACAAATACACAGGTCGCGGGTTCAATTCTACGGGTCGACACAGGTACTGTACACAGGTAACGTTGGGGTCTAGGGATCGAACCCTGGGATCTGCAGCAGCCACTACTAACTGGTGAATGCCGTTTCAGCAGTTCCCACCTAAAGCATGGCCCCCCACCCCTTGCCCATTTCTGCCTCCGCTGGGACTGATGTTGACCCACACACCAGCCCCTGCCCCAGAATAGGGCAAACACCTACTCCACCCCTACCCTCTTTGAGACATTCACCCCCCACCTTGTGATGCCCCTGCAAGATAGAGCTCCCCCCACCCCCTTCTTACCGTTCAGCCCTCCCGGAACGATCCAATCCAGCCGACTACAGTTATTGATGACACACTTTCCAAAATGTCGATCGCAATTTGGAAAAGCAGGGCCTCTTCAAAAATATGCAATAACCCTTGAAAACTCCCTACATCTTTAAGAACAACCCACTGAAGAAGGCACAGGGCGGCAGTAAGACTATGACAATTATTCCCCTGCCCCTTGCGCCAATCGACATTTGGCAGCTCCCACCATGCGCACGTATCAACAATTTAAAAGAAACAAAAAACTAATTATCGGAGAGGGTCTCCAAAATTTATAGCTATAATAGTAGAATTCTGAAAAGGCAAAAGTTGTTCACTTGATTTTCATAAATAATATAGTTTTTCTTTCGGATGGTTTTTTTTTTTTTTTTTTTTGACAGGGACGTTCCCCGGCCCTTGCCCGGCCTGGCGGCCTGGGCAACCAAGGTGACCGTGGCGGCCCAGTTGGTAGCCCAGGTTTTCAGTTCCAGTAACCACGAAGGACAAAGAATGACCTCAGCATGAGTGAGATATGAGCTCAAGGATATTCTCATAAAGTGTTATTATCCTGGTTGGTTCTGAATGCAAAATTCACAAAGAAACAATGCTGCTCAACTGCAACTCAAATGTTAGAGGTTGGACGAGGAATAACACAAGGGAAGAAGAAGAATGAAGAATAGAAGAAGAGGAAGAAAAACACAAGCTGGAACCAATGCCACTTCTCCCTTGGCACTTCACCTGCCAAGCTCCTGAAGCGGCAGCATAGCTGCCGTGCACTCAGGAAAAGAGGAGCAACTAACTGCTCCTCAAGATACACTTCGCCACGCCTCACTACTTGGCGACATTCCAGCTACTCGACCACTCAGCCCTATCGGTTTCCACCCGTTTTAGTGGGCCTGGACCTAGACTCTTTTCAGGACGGTCCCTTCTAGAACTCTCTTTGTAGGTCCCTCCCATAAAACAGGTCCTTGTGGCCCTGGGTCCATTTCCATTCTGGAGAGCATCAGTCCGGTTCCTATTCCACTGGCAAGTCCGAACAAAGTATCACATCATCAAACACACTCAACACTTCCTTCCGTCTTGCGGAAGGAACCCTGACCAGCATTTATTACTCCAGCAGCGTGGAGGATTGATTGTCAGCTTGCCTTACTTCCACCTTTCCTCTCAGGTCCACTGTATGAAGTACTATGAACCTGTCAGATAAATGATAAAGAGCAAGAAAGGTAAAAGAAGCTACGGAAGGCAACTCTCGGAATCTACAATCTATTATTAACTGCATCCCAGAAGGCTGGAAGGTGTTGTTGAGCGAAGCCTCAACCTGGAAATCGGGTGAATGGGGAGTGAGGGTGCAGGATTTAACCCCCTCAAGGGCCTATCAATTTTCCCACAAACAGCTAGGGTCGGATACCCTCGCTGTATTTACCTCTTTCCCAATTACCCCCTCCACGCAAGGCCTCTCATTTATCCTGAATAAGGAGGTGGAAAGAATAGTCCTAAATCCTTTTGTTCTCAGAAAAGTAAGAGTGTTGGGATCATGGCCAAAAACAATCTTCAGAATAGATACGGCGATTCAAGATCTGGAATTTGATCCAGCAGAGTGGTCTTGGACACTAGACAGAAGCAGAAGTCTCAAAACGAATGTACCGATCCAGGAATACACAGTCAAACTGGGATACAACTTACTCCTCAAAACAAAGGATCCCGACCCAACAATCAAGAACAGATGGCAGAAGTTAATAGGTCAGGACGCTAGTCAGATCCCACAAATACCATGGAAAAAACTTCAAAAAAGTCAATTCGTCCGGTCAAAATCAGAAGCCTCCAACGGCTCATCTCATACGTGGCTCTACCGGTTAACCAGTGGCTGCATATCAGAAGACGTAAGAATGACCCCAACAGTTCAGATTTACGTGCGGTATGCTCAGAAAATGAACCAGAAGATATGCTACACTGCCTGATACGCTGGAGAGAGGCGACGGAATATTGGGTGAGGGCCTAGGATCTCTGGGATTCCC